ATATATGCCTTAATCATGAAGTTTTTTTTTTTTTAATCCAAAAGTAACAGAGCCAATCTTTAATCAGAGAAAAATTCTTTCTGCTACGGTAGGATGAAGGCTTCCTGCAGGCTGTTTCTCCTCAGGGTTTCTCAACCTTGGTCTCATGACACCGTGGCCACACAACTCTGCCTCACTGGGGGCTGCTGGGTGCAGTGCAGCACATCTGGGGTTATGAGCATCCTCCATACACCAGCTGCACCTTCCTGCCCCAGCCACGACAACCGAAACTGTCTCCAGGCACTGCCACATTTCTCCATGGCCAAAATCACCCCTTCAGGAAAACTACCACTTTCACTAGAAAGACTGAAAATATCTTAACCACAGGTTGGCCGCTTACATTGTTCAATGCCACGCCTGATGCCCTAATGACCAGCAGCTTCTTCCCACACTCAAGACACTGTCTGGACATTTCACGCCGACATGTTCGTGTACATATGTTTAGATACATTTCCTCACAACGAAAGGCGTTTGCAATGTATCACCTCTTCCCGGTGTGACAACAGCGATAATGAACAGCACAGCCATACAGAGCATGCGACAGGAGTCCCAGCCTAGCGTCTGGCCCTAGTTCCCAAATTGTTTTAAATCCACAATTCATAACATTAAAAAAAAAAAAAAACAAAACAGGCTGTGCCTGCCAGCGCCCTCTGCAAGTCACCCTGGGTCAGTTGAAAACTGACAGTATTAAGAACTTGGGTTCTGGTAAAACGTTCAAATGCCCATGGAAGAGGAGGACAGGGAGGAGGACGAAGGAGGAGGAGGAGAGGGAGGAGGAGGGGAAGGGGGAAGGAGGAAGCAGGAAATGCTTCTGCCTGAGGAACAAGGGGGGAGTCTGAGCCTCTCATTACACCGCTTGGCCCAACTCGGCCTCGTTCTCTTTCAACACCAGTCAGAAGAATGTAAACAGTGAACAGACTCTTCTCGTAGCAGTAAACGTAGCACAACTTGAGAAATAAAGTTGACAGTATCATGTCTATGATAATGTATGGAGAGTCTCCTCACTTTATTAAGTGTTTGTTTTTTTTTCCATTTTTATTTGGCAGATCTAAAGTTCTAGGATCCAGAAATCCAATTCTGCCACTGACTCACCAAACCTAAGAACACCTCCCCCAGGTTATCTTTTGGTCATTCAGCCCAGAAACAAAATTCCTGTGGTGTAAACTGACAGAATCACACAAGTCAGCATAGCAGACAAAGGAATCACACCGGCTTTGGGAAGGAACTGCTTGCACCAACAAAGGGACCTTCTTGAAAAACAGCGAACAGATGACTAACTTCAGGAAAAGGAACTCAGTGGCCTGTTGTACTTACCTGGGGAACAGTGTCCTCAAAGATTAGAAATCCAAGGGTAGTTTTGGGTTCTTAAACACCATCACATAACCCAACACTTGGAATCTTTCTTGGCCCCAAAAGACTCTGAAAATGCTGCATGACCTCTTAATAATAACAAACAATGCACATTCCTATTTTATTTGCAAAACTAATTAGCAGCAGCTGCTACTGACACAGGATTTTCTTTTTCTAACAAAATATTTTACTTATGGAAGTATTCTGCCTTAAAAAAAATAAGTAAAGCAAAACTATTAACTTCTACGTTACTTTAGCTGCTGAAAAAAGAGACAACCATTTTCCTAAGACTCGAAGTAAGCAGCTGCCCACATCTGTCAACTACGCGTCTCTGGAACTGCAGAGAAACTTAGTGCTTTAATACCGTACTTACATGTGAGGGCTCAGTTCATAAAAGTTTCTGTTCCTGTAATCTTCCACTTTCTCTGGAGAATAAATTGGTAGAGACCGATAGGGGTTAACTGATATAACCACACTTCCAATGTATGTCTGTAAAAGAAAGAATAAAACGTACTTGTAACAACACAGCGTGGAAAGTTTAGCATCCCGGAGCTTTAATCTTTTAAAACCAGCACTAGCTCCCTGCCTCACCGTGGAAGTCAGCCTTTCCACCCCCCACCCAGAGCTAACCCACGGGGTCACAGCACCACCCAGAGATGATAGCTCATGGGTCTCCGCGGCAGGCTGAGGCCACACGCCAGTGCAGCAGGACTGCCACAGTTATCGCGGGGGTCTCCGCACAACTTCATCCTGCACCTAATGTGCCAGGATGGGACAACTTCAGTGCACTTTCTGATGGACAGTACATTTAAAATCGATTTTAAATGTAATGTAAAATTTAAATGTCCCTTGACGGATCGGGGCTTCATTATGACACCGGCTAACACTCCTACACTGCAAACCTGAACCCTTTTTACCTTCCTTCCTGTTCCAACCCTAAATGCCTAGCAGCGCAAGTGGCCGTGCTTCAGCTAATTCTGCCCAACGCCTAGCACAGTGCCGCGAGGAAGTCACTGAACTGAAGTGGCTTTTCCTTTGGCGGCTCCGCTTTTCCTTTGCTTCAACGTCATAAAGATAGAAAGGGGAAATAAGCTGCCAACATACTCTGTGTGTAATAACATTTTTCAAAGGAAAAGGCTCGTAAAGAACAAAACAAGTGAGGGATGAGGAAGGGAGGGGCCAACTCCCACTTCCCTACCTGTCCAATGTCACCCAACAAAAGACAGCACTTTTGGAGCAACAAGTTTCTCCAGGGCTGTGACTCCTGAGATTCACGAAAAGAAAATTAACCACAATGGACAATGAGGAAACATCGCAAATGCTCTGCTTGTTATTCTTCCATCGGGTATGACAATTTTAATTAAAGGCTCCCCTAACTTGGAAAAGGAAACAGGCTAATCTTCCACAGGCTTTCTTCCTCTAGGAATACAACCTGCACAAAAGTGGACAAGGCAGCTGTTGGAAAACTCTCCATTCCACACTTATTTCTGAAATTCTACTGTCAGGGCTCAACCTCTCCTGACGAAGAATGAATCCAACTTTTATGATGGCTCCTACTTAGATCTGACTTCCTCAAGAACCTTCCCAACAGTCCCAGCACAACTGGGCAGGTGGCCTGGAGACACCTGGCACTGAGTAAAAGTCTGAGAAATTCTCGCTGGTGCGTCAGAATCCGTCACATTAACAGGAAAATCACTGCTTATTACTTCAGTATCCACTGAGTAAAAGAAATGCCTGCTTTAGTTTTTTAAAAAAAATCTGTACTCGGATTCTTTTTCAGTTAACTTCTTAAATGTGACACTTACTAAAATATATGGATTTGCTGTCTGCAGAGAAACCAGTTACTAAATTGCTTTTTAAAGCCAGACTTCACAATGGCTAAATTCTTGATAAAAATCTGCCTCTGCAGCATTCCTGCATAAAGAACAAACCTTGCTGCCTCAAATTCAAAATCAAAAGCCACATGAACAAGGTGTGACCTTCTTCTTGGTACTTGTGCCTTTTCGTTCCTCCCAGAGCCACCCCACCACCTAGAACGGGACTTGGCCTGCTGATGTCCAATAAATATTTGTCAGTGTGATGACCAATTCTGCAGCGCTAAGAAAGAAGGTGCGAGCCATCACCTCACACAGTTATCCTTGTGCTGAACTGCAACACAAAACGCACGATGTCCAGGGCCCAGGGTTTTGTTAAGCCTCTGTGCCATCTCTAAAGTATCCCTTCGTGGTCGCCTAATTGAAAAACTGGCCATAAAAATTCCTCTCATTCCTGTTCGCGCACACATGCCCTCTTTAACAAGACTGTGCCACTCCTGTCGGGAAGCAGACGGTGGTATTCCTCCATCTCTTGAATCTGGACTGGTCCATGGGACTTGATCTGACCCCAGAGACATCACCAGCGGAGACCCCAGCAGAGGCTCAAGCTCATTCGTGTATTCAGATCTGCTGCCCCAGTCAGAAGCCACAATGCGAACGCGCTCACACCAACCTGCGGAGAAGTCAGGAGCTCAGCCACAGACTGACAGCTGCCAGGCACACGAGTGGGGCCATACAAACCCATCCAGCCCCAGGGAGGTCCCCAGATGCCTACAGCCACCAGTGTGATTCAAGGCGAGACCAGCAGAAAATACACAAAGGCGAACTCAGCCTAAACTGCAACACTGGAGAACTATGAGTCTAGTTCAGGGTTATTGTTCTACACCGTGAATTTTTGGAAGTGGCTTGTTATGAGCACCAGTAACTGATACACCTGCATGGCTCAACAGACTACAGAAGGAGCCCCGTGGGACCAGCCCCATCAATCAAAACAGGTAAGCACTAGAGGAACTTGGCCAGTTCTCCATTACTCTCCAGATGAGTACCCTGACCGCCTAATGGTTTGTCCTCTACCGGAAGCTGCCCTTCCTGTTCAGAGGTTTCTTCCTTAAAGGTTCTATGTGCATTAGCCAAAGACTTAAACATCCGCATGTAGCAGTAGAATAATTCAAATATTCACAGCCACAGTCCTCCTTCCTCTAGGACACAGAAACACATTCCTGATAGCAGCTGGTGGGAGGGGTGGGGCTAAAATTCCACTCCAGTTTTAGACAGCTACTGACTGTACACTCAGGTAACTGCAGCACCAGACTGACCCTTCCCAGGGACCACAGTGATGTGACCACACAGTTTCTTTTTACACCAGCGGACATCTAGACTTAGAAATAACAACACCGTTCTAACCAGCAGCTGTGCACTATTTAAAGTTGGTGTTTTCTTATTGCATCATGTGCTACAATAGATAAGAGCAACGTTTACCATAAAGGAGCCAGCCTGCCATGCCCTGGCCCATCACAGCCTGTAGACCAGCCTCTAGCACTGGAAGGAGAAGAACGGGGGGTGGCTCAACCTTTCTGTACAAGGCACATTCAATTACCAGGTTTGTCTTCCACTTCTCAGGGATGCCTTAAATCACAAAAGTACAAGCATTCCCAATCCAAACTGATCTCCATCTTCCCATTTCAAGTACAGCATCTCTAGAGCTCCAAATCACCTTGTGAGCCACCACAGAGTACTTGAGAGTCCCTATGGGGACCACCTTGAAAACCGACACCTTTCCTGGAGGGTATTACTCAATCTGCAGCCTTCCCTCCCCACATCACAAAGCAGAGCCCAATCTGTAACCAAAGGCCAAGCAGTCTTGACAGTTCTTCCAGAACTCCATCCTCAGGCTGGGGATCAGTACGGGGGATTTTGTGAGGAGACCTCAGGGGACTTAGGAATCCCCGCCTTCAGGGCTCCCAGGACCAGCTTCCCTCCCAAATGCAGCCACTGTGCTGCGCCCCTGTGAATCCATCTTCTGTCCTGCCTTCCCCTATAAACATCCCTGGGTAGTTAACTCTGAAAACATTTTGAAAAGAGAAGAAAAATCTTTCTAGCTTCAGTTGCTTTCATTTTAGCCACATTTCTACTGAACTTGACATACAGGCTATCAGCACACCGCAGAAAAGAGCAGCAAGAGGTGGAAATTGGGGGAGATAAAAGGGGCCACTCTACAGCTGTGTTATTTCCAATGCCTGGTGACTCCTTGTAAGAAATAAATTTTCATCACAATCCATATGTATGCATACTATTTATACAGGCCCATATATACATCTATATAAAATAAAAACTTCATACAGAACCCCAAATACCTTATCTTTCTAGCTTCAGTTGCTTTCATTTTAGCCACATTTCTACTGAACTTGACATACAGGCTATTAGCACACCGCAGAAAAGAGCAGCAAGAGATGGAAATTGGGGGAGATAAAAGGGCCCACTCTACAGCTGTGTTATTTCCAATGCCTGGTGACTCCTTGTAAGAAATAAATTTTCATCACAATCCATATGTATGCATACTATTTATACAGGCCCATATACACATCTATATAAAATAAAAACTTCATACAGAACCCCAAATACCCTTACTACATGTCATGCATTGATATTTTTTGTTCAATTCTATTCATTGTGTTTTGGTTTGCTTTTTTGACAGAGTTTCACTGTGTAGTTCATGCTGGCCTTGAACTGACTATGTAGCCCAAGCTGGCCTAAAACTCATGGCAATCCTCTTGCCTTAGCCTCCTGAGTGCTGGAATTACAGGTGTGTGCCACCATGCCTGGCTTCATTAAAGAATAAAACAAACAAACAAACAAACAAACAAAAAAACTAGTGGTCATAACCCACTACACAGTTTGCATGAGCCATTAATGGAATAAAACTTGCAATTTAGAAAACAGAACAGTGCTCTAAGAGCACTTCCCTTATCCTCTGAAACCTCAGTGAAAGCAATGAAAGATTCTTCAAAAACTAAGGTATCACATGCATGTAAAAGTTTTACACTGCTGATAAAGCAGGCTGAGAACTCTCACAGAGAGAAAACCACAGTCCCTGATATACATGGGAAGGGGGTGTCAAGTAAAGAAGGGATCAAGGTAATTCTAAAACTACAAAAACATTTACAGCAAGATCCAAAAGCTTGCTCACTGCCTCTGCTAGCTCTGAGCGCTTTGTTAGACGGCACTGAGTCAGAACACAACTGTTGTGGTTTATGTCTATAAGTGCTCCTCACACATTTACCAGATGGGGCTTTGGGAAGGTGATCCAGGGATGGGGCTTCTAGCTGGTTCACTGTTAGGAGGCGAGCTAACAGTGGCGTGGCCTGGGAGGGTTCCTTTCCCTGGCTAGATCCTCCCTTCCCTCCCTGCTTCCTGTCCACCCTGCCATGAGCAGCTCTCTTCCACCAGGGCCCTGCCATACTGTCCTGCCTTGGAGCCAGCCCACTGCGGACTGGAACACGAGCCCAAATGAACCTCTTCCTCCCTAAGCTGTGGGTGTCAGGTATTATGTCTCAGGGACACAGAGGTGACTAAGACAACTACATAATAATCAATGGCCAAAATGTGAAAAAGCAGACTGTTTCTGCTAACAAGGATACATCTGATTCATTTGGGGAAGATGTTTAAATACAAAGC